CATGTACATTAAAAATCTCAGAAGAATACAAGCTTGAGAAGGCATAAGTAATATTTATATAAAAAACTTTAGAAAGTTGCAGGTCTCGGAATGTACATGTATATTATAGGCCTAAAAAAGCCACAATTCTTAAAAGACATAAACCTCAAAAGACGTCTACGTATTTGAAGCCAAAAAACTTGAAGAGGCTATAGGCTTAGAAGAGCTTGATGTTATTTAGCTTCTAGTGTGACAATGCACTAATTGGGCTATGTTTAGAAAACTTGGGGGCAAGTCGTATGAAATCAACTTCCATACATAAAGCACAAAAATACCTAAGCAAGCTTGATACAATAAGTGAAAGATGACTACAATAGTTGGACTCATATAATAAAACATAGAATCTAACAAGTTCAATGTTGCTCAACTCTGTCAAAATTAAAACACTCGGACACCAAAAAAACACATCATAATCAAAAGAGTCAAGTGTTTTGAATTTTGATAGTATTTACAGACAAAGTCAAACAATATTTGTATAAAAAGGCTCTAAGGCTTGTCAAAGAGAGACTAGGAATATAAAAGGCTTATCATTGGTTCTAAAGTTGATGTGTGTTGTTGAATGCCCTTCTTTATTAGGTCTTTATACAACTTTGGCATCAATGTCGACATTCACTAACCTTTTTTCCGATTATCTCTTGCATTATTGATGCATGCCATCATTTATAACATTGATGTGCACCATCAACACAAGTCATTACCTCTAATATTGATGCACGTGTTGACATATGACATCTTTATTAGATTGATGCAGGCTGTTAACACCAATATAGATGCTTATTATCCCCATCACTCATCATCATAAATAATAATGATGCACATGCTCATGATCACTAAAATCATTGAAGCATGTTATTCACATAAAGAATATGATGCTCTTCTAGGTCACTTGACTCATCTCTTCAAATAAGATTTGATTGAATACATCATAAACAATGTCTAGAAGACAACTTCCCGACCTCCATACTCTACTTTTCATCATGGAGTATATTTTGCTTTTTCCATGTCAATACCTCCATCATATTGGGTAAGGAAATTATTCCTAATATATAACGCACATTAGCAAAATCATTTCAACTAAATTTGATCGTGTCATTACTTTTTTTGAATTTTTCAGGTCAAGATTTCAACATCTCTTAGTGAAACTCTTATTTTATTTATACACGTGTTTTATGTTCATTCAAAAACAAAATATCAACCTTTCACTATCATAATAAAATCTTTACGTGTGAAAACTAATAAAATATGTCATATTATCTTAGGATATTTTTTTTGAGTTACACTTCTCCATAATAAAATTCATCTTTTCATTCATAAGAAGGGTATTTTTTGTAAATATCAAGATTTAAGTGCGAGATACATAAATGCATAATAATAGATGTTACGTCTTTTCTAATGCACTTTTATTAAAAAAATTATTTAATTTACTATATTCTTAATAGAGAATTTTAATTTGCCAATATAAGTGTTATTTATATAACTATAATTATGATGTTAAAAATTTAAATGTTATTTAAATTATTAAAAAAATAATTTTTATTTGTATAAATATGCAAATAAATAAAATATTTTAGTATGTATAATATATGTAAATACCCCCCTTTTATTTTTTATTTTAATTTTTTGGCAAATGATAAATGTCTTACTGCAAATTTCTCCCCGCTATAAAGACAATATGCAGTAGCGGTGAACCCTCCGTCAAAACCCCTCTCTTCCCTTCTCACTCACTCGGCAGCCATGGCGGCCCCCGCCCGGCCCATGACCCTATCCAGAAGCTTCTCTCCATCATCAGCTCCCCCCTTCTCTGGTTCGGACATCTCGTCGAGTTTTTCCTCAACTTCTTCTCCCTCAACGGCGGATTCTTCGGCATCCTTCCCCGCTTGCTCACATGTCCACTTTGATCACTCCCTTCTTCTTTTTCTTACCATTTCCTTTAGGTTTTAGTCGGTATTGCATCTTCTTCTGATTGATTGCTTGGTTGTTGTTATTGTTGGATGCAGTTTCTGTGGTGATTCCGAGAAGGCACGCGGCTAATTTCAGATCTATTATCTGTCACATTGATGGACGATATGAGCTATTTAGGAGCATTTTTCTGAGCGATTATACTTCGATAGAGCCGATTCCAGGGCTGGACATCAATCCCTTCTGCCTCTCGATGATGGCGGCGAAGCTCGCCTATGAGAACGGGGCTTTCATCGAAAACCAAGTCAAAAAATACTGGAAGGTGCAGATTAAATAAACCCCCTCTCTTTTTATTTATCTTTTTTAATATTTTGATGCAGATCTTAAAATTAGAGAAATATTAGATTTTATATGGTTCCTGTTCTAGGAAATTAATTAATATTAGTTTTTTATTTAAAATTCTCTGTATTATGGCTAGATGTAGCATCCTTTGTCATGTTGGTGGTGTTGAGTCGAGTCGAGTCGAGTCCGTGCAACTCTTGACTTGAGATTGATTAATTATCGAGTTCGAGCTCAAACTGTAGCTTAAGACTACTACTTCATGTCCATCTGTGTAGTATGAAAAAAATAAATATGAATTTAATTTATTGTTATAAGCAAAATTATTTATGGAATGGGCAATGAAGAGATTATATAATTTTTTTTAAAAAAAATTAATGACAAAAATCTTAAAATTTTATTTTTTTTTAGTTTATTTTATATTAATATGCATTTCAATAAATAAGCTCACTCAGCTGACGTGTTTCGTTTAGTTAGATCTGATTTGAGCTCGGCTTGTTAGCTCATTGAGCTTAGCTCATGAGCCATTTTTTGAGTCGAGCTTAATCTGGCTTATGAGGTGGCTTTGCTCACATACGCCCTTAGGAGAGGCAAAAATTTTACTGTGCGGACTCCTGACGTAGCTCTATTTACGGCGCAGGGTATTCATGAGTTATTTTCAAATTATTTTTGAGTTATTTTCCATAATCCGAAAATAACCCAGAAATAACCCAAATTATTTCGGGATTAAAAATAACCCAGAAATAACCTGAAAATAACTCACTTTAGGCCACCACCGCACGTAGTGATACGTCAGGTGTCCGGACAAAAAAATGCGCGCCAGGAGAGCACCCCCATAGTTAAATCTAATATTATTATAAATTATTTTCTATTTTAGTAGACAACAATCAATAAACTAAAAATATTTTTTTTTTTTTTGCAAAAAAAAAAAAAAATTGGGGCAATTACATACATACCGCACAATTCTTAAATGTAATTACAACTCTAATATCTAAAATTTTATATTTTCATCTACATGCATGCCTTTTAAACCATTGACATAGATAAGGTGCGTGAAATCTGTAAATGAATTATTAAAGCATCATGTGCTGCACGCCATCAGTTGAAATAATTGTTTTAGTTAAGGGGTAGTGTGTCAAATACCCATGTCATTTTCGTATTAATTTTTGTAATTAATTAATACTCGTTTTGTTAAAGAATTGTTAGTAATAATTAGTTAACCTAACTTTTTATTTATTTATTTGTTTGCAGATGCATTTTGTCAGATTCTTCAACTGTTGGAACAGTAAGTGTACCTCCAGCGCCTTAAAAAAGCTTAAAATAAAATAAAATAATAAATTATTCATCAAATAATTATAATGCAGAGGTCACATGATCCATGCTTGTCATTTTTAAAGGCATTGACGTCATTTTACAGGCTGGTTTAATAATAATTGCTAAAATAATTAGTTTGTGGGCCCCTTAAGGATAGCAATTCAATTTTTAATTTTATAAATTTTAATATATATATATAAAATTCATAAAAAGATAAAAAAGTGAGCATATAACGTGTTTATTTTAAAATAGCTTGTAACTTTAATTTAAAAAAAAATTAAGAAGATTAAAAAAAAAAGAAATTTTTATATTTGAAAAAGGAACTCAAATTTCACTTATTAGGAATAATTGCATGCAAACAATCAGAAAGATTGATATTTAGGAATGTCACAGTCCGGAATATTGATATTTATGAATGTCACGATCAAATTATTGAGAATTCCATAAAAATGAAAATTATTATTATGCTTTTATCATAAATTTTAATATTGGAGGGTGAATTTAAAAATTAGATGAAAGAGAGTGATTGATTTGTAAATAACAAGTTTTGCGTTGTCTTTCTCACTCGAACACAAGCGAGTCTGTGCTCGCTCGCTTGTGTTCGGTTCGTTAAAAATATCACTATTCATATTCTACTAGTTCATATTTCGAACATAAAAAAATGTTTGTGTTCAGCCCGTTAGCTTAATGAGCCAAACACGAACGAGAACGAGTTACTCGTGAACAATCATTTTAACAATCCTCATCACGTAATAAATCGTATAATTTATATCAAAATATCATTTTAATAAATAATTTTGATTGATTAAATCTTTGTAGTCTACTATTCATTCTTTTTCTTCCAGAATTTTTGAAGGTGAAAGGAACCCAAGCCTTCATCTGCTGCGACAAAGCCGACGACGCCAATGTCATCGTCCTCGCCTTCCGCGGCACGGAGGCCTTCAACGCCTTCGACTGGATAACAGACGTGGATCTCTCATGGCTCAGCATGGGGAAATACGGCAAAGCCCACCTGGGCTTCATGAGAGCTCTCGGCCTCCAAGACGAGAAGGACATCGAAAAAGGTTTCCCCCGCGAGCACCCCGAGCTCGACGAAGGCAGGTTCATCGCCTACTACGCCATTCGGGAGACGCTGAGAGAGCTGCTGGAGAAGCACAAGCGAGCCAGAATCATCATCACCGGCCACAGCCTCGGCGGCGCTCTGGCGATACTGTTTCCGGCGATATTGGCCATGCACGAGCAGCAGGATATCATAGACAGAATCCATGGGGTCATGACTTACGGCCAGCCGAGGGTTGGAGATGCGGAGTTTGGCCGAAATGTGTCGGCGGTGCTGAAGTCGAAGTATCATAGGATGGTTTACAGGTATGATATTGTGCCTAGGGTTCCGTTTGATAAGCCGCCCGTGGCTCTGTTCAAGCATTTTGGGACTTGCATTTACTTCACCAGTTGGTATGAGGGGAAGGTCAGTCTGCTGCTTCTTCTACTCTTTGGGGCTGTTTAAGTTGGATGTATAAAGTCGTGGATTTGATAAATCTGAATTTCATCTCTGGAACTAGAATTTTTCAAACAGTTTTATCAGATTTACATGATTTAATAAATCTGTTGCCAATTAATTCTGTTTTTAACTCATTAATGATTTAGTAAATCTGGTATTTACTATATCCTAACGAGTTAAATCTCATATTTTGGGGTGTTGTCTGGCAACGGATTTACCAGAGGATTTATGAAGGATTTAAGTGGAGTCCTGCTAGATGGTTATTTTGGACAAAATAAATTCCTGGATGTATAATTTTCTGCTTTTAACTCATTAATGATTTAGTAAATCTGGAATTTACTATATCCTAACGAGTTAAATCTCATATTTGGGGGGTTGTCTGGCAACGGATTTACCAACGGATTTATGAAGGATTTAAGTGGAATCCTGCCAGATGGTTATTTTGGACAAAATAAATTCCTGGATGTCGTAAATTCAGATTCTATCGATTTCGATTGTAAATCAGGGATTTACTAAATGTCATGAATCAGTGGATTTAACTTTGTGGACTAGGATTGAAAACAGTGACAGAATTTAGTAAATCAGTTGCCAGACAATTTTCTAGATTTTAATCTGGATTTTCAGTATGTACTAAATCCTAATAACTTAAATCTGATGTGTTACCTCGTTATATGTATTACTTAGTGATGTTATTTGATGGCAGGTGGTGGAGGAATCTCCGAACCCTAATTATTTTCATCCATTGTTCTTGTTCTCCATGTACTTGAGTGCAGTGGGGGACTTAACCAGGGCTTTCTTGTTGGGATTACTTCTGAAGGATTTTGAGGAGGGGTACGTCTCCCTTCTGTTTCGGACTTCAGGGCTTCTCATACCAGGAATTGCGTCTCACAGCCCAAGAGATTATGTTAATGGTGGAACGATGGCCAAAATAATTGCTCAGAAGATCTTGAACAGTGAGACATGAAGAAGGGTGAAGTCGGGCAAAGGTTTGATGATCCGACGTTTTTTTTATAAAAATGTCCAATAAATATCATAGCTTGCTCAAATTTTAAAGCATTTTGATTGGTTATGATAAGATCTGAAGTGCTTTGAGATTTGTGTAGAATGATGTCATGATGTTTGGAAGATTTTGGTTGTCTATACTTGGCTTGATGTAATGAAAAACGCAGCTTTTATCAAGAGTTTATGTTCTGTTTTTGCAATGCAATGAAGTTCACTGTGATAATTTTTCAAGGCAGTTTATGCTCTGATTATTCAACATATATTAGCAGTAATGTACTGCTTTATGTTATGGAATTTGATTGAATTTTAGATGGTAGGAATTTATCACTATAAACTTAGAAAACATATTGTTGGGAGAATGTTGATGAACCCGATCAAGATTTTATGGTTTCATTATCTCGGGTTATCATTGACTTTAATTTATTTAGTTAGAGGAGGTAGTCAAACCAACCTGATATAAATAGACCTTGTAGACTTAGGGGATGCTTGTTAAAGACGACTAATTTGAGTTTGGAAGTTGAAAATTGATTAGTACTGGCTTGAGATGAATTTCACCAAGTCTTCGCATAATTATATACTTTAATGTAGATAATCAAATTTTTATATGCTACAATCTTGTCATATTCAAAAAGTGCAAGGAAAAAGCAAAGATTATTCTTTATGATTTTTTGAGGATGATGATCTTCTTTTAACTTCATAAGACATAGTTTTGTTTATTTGTTTTATTGAAATTTCCACATATTTTTGAAACTATAAGTGTTTTTTTGAAAATATGCCATAAATGGTTGGGGTCAAGCATAGAGCATTCAATCGTTTTCATTGTTTTTTTTTACTTCAACAGCTGGCATCTATTGATTGAGGCCACACCATTGATCCATTATATATATATATATATAGATATATATATGGGTGTGTGCGATCCGTGATCTGTTAGTAGAACAACTTTTTTGAAGGTCGTAAGTCCCCTCAGGTCATGGGTTCGAATATCCCGTGCGTAGAGTGTGGTACTCAAATATTTAGCATACCTAGGAATGATCAGGGCTCATTTATTAACATCCAGTCATTCATTTTATATATATATATATATATATATATATAACTGTTCAGTTATACTAGGGCTGTCAAAAAAGCTCGTTGTTCGCGAACAGTTCGTGTTCGGTTCGTCAATGAGTTCGTGTTCGATTCGTTCGATAAGTAAACGAGACAAACACGAATAAATTTTTTTCGTTCGGTTAGTTAAACGAACCAAA